TACATGCACCCTATAACTATAAAGGTTAACCACAGAAAGAACATTACAAAGGTGGGATGCTATCCCTTGTTGTGTTACAGGGGTGATATAACTTATTTATACCTTAGATGTTACAAAAGTGAATTAATTATACACAGCTTGCCATTTGTAATTAATTATTTTCAGGGCTCACATCAACAAAGATATGACATTTTCCATAACCAGATGTGTGTCTGCTTGTCCTGGACCTTTGTAAAGTAGTTAACAGAGTCTTAATATTAAATCCTTAGTTTGTTAGAATACAATCCTATACTCTCTCAACAGACAATAAGATCTGCTAAATTCAGTGGCATGCATTTTTGAGTAGACATAAACAGAATTGTCCTGTGACTACAAAATAAAATCCCTTATCGGCACCAATTAGGTTTATTTAGATTTATTTTTATAACCAAAGGAATAAAATATGGTTTATCTTTTATAAAATTAGTTCCTAATGGGTATATTGGTAGGAAACGTATGACACTTGTAGCAAATGTGAGCCATGATATATTTATATTCTGTTGTGTATACATACCATTGTCTTATGGAGGATTAAGTAGGATTAAAGTATTTTATTACTTTTAGAACAAACCTTTCCAGAAGCACTGAAGTCATAAAAAATATTTTCCAGAATGTCACTGTTGTATAAATTGAGGAAATGGCTCCACCCAGTGGCTTATTTTAAAAAATGTTTCTGGAGCTTGGAACAATCTTTCATTATATTTACCCATTTATCTACCTCAAAGTGATTGAGAAATCCACCATGGGCAAAAAAAAAATGTGTAGTGCCCATCACACAAGGAATGGGTGATCACTTTGGAACATTCTGTTGTTCGTTTTTAAATAAGAATTTGTTAAAATGAACAAATTCCCTCAGTCACAAGTGTGAAAGAGATTTTCACAACTTAAATGTGTAAGAAAACCAACCTGGCAGATTGGGCATCCAAGCAAAGGACTTTGAGAGCTTGGCACCTAAATGTCTTGGCTTGAATCCCTGTGTAGTGACTCACATTTGTGGTGCTGAGACATGGCTGAGATCCTAACAGATGCTGGTGGAGTATAAATCTCCACCACCATATTTAAACTAGAGGTTTGGAAGGTGAGGGCTGCTCTTTTCCTCCTAGCTTCACAAAGGCAGCCAGATGCCAGTGGGATGTGCCACTGTGGCCAATCCGTGACCATTTGGGTTGGAGGCAGAGTGACACCTTAATGCCATTTGGCTGTCATCACATAGCCGGGGGTGCAAAGAGGTACTAGATACCACCTTGTGCAATGATTGAGAAATAATTTGTGGTGGTATAATAAGAGGTTAGAGAACCAACATGATATAATGGTTTGAGTGTTTGATTATGACAAAAGAGACCAGGTTTGGATCTCTGCTCAGCCATGGAAACCCACCAGGTGACCTTGGGCAATCCCACTCTTTCAGTCTCAGAGGAAGACTTCTCCTGAACAAATCTTGCCAAGAAAACCCTGTAATAGGTTCACCTTGGGGTCACCATAAATTGGAAATGACTTGAAGGCGTGTAACAACAAGGGATGTCAGCGTAAGATGATAATAGAATTCCATCCATAGGCTGCTATTTTTTCTTGGGTGTCTCGTTGGCAAGTACAACTTGGAAAAATGTGGGATATAATTAAAGTGACTGACTGACTGACTGACTGACTGACTGACTGACTGACTGACTGACTGTATTTGTAAGAACTTACCAAATTTACAGATATCTTCATGAATAGGATGGGGCTAAATCTGAGATTTTAACTTTTCTAACTGTGGAAGAAAGTGAAGCTGACACATTCTTCCATTCCTACTTCATACTAGTTAAACTATTATACCTGAACCTAAAAAGCAATTTAAATTGGAACTCAAGGGTTGATCCAAGACATTTTGTCACTGAGGCAAAGGATAAGATGGTGCCCCATCATTTTCTGCATACAGAAGATAAATTGGCTAGACCAGGGGTAGGCAACCTTTCCCCTTTAAGGGCCGAGGGACTTCATCTCCCAGAAGCCTCAGCCATGTTGGCCAATAGTCCCATGTTGGCCAATAGCTCCTGGGATTCTGGGAGCTGAAGTCCCTCGGCCTTTAAAGGGAAAAGGTTGCCTACCCCTGGGCTAGACTAACAGGTTGAAATGTACTTGGGTACCTGTAAAGGGGTAATGCCCTGAGCCACATGTGAAACAACAGGCCAGTTTAAGGTACTCACAGCAGGCTGCATGGCATGCAACATTTTGTCTTCCAACAGTGGAAGATAGTCTAAGAGTTTAGGAAGAATAGCCAGCTCTCCAACTTTCCTCCCAACATTTGCTGCATGCAGCAAATGCTTCACTCTGCTTAATAATGGGCCTTTGCAGACTGCCAGAAATAGTGCTAATGGAGTCCACTTTAACTGCCCTGACTCAGTGCTAAAGAATCATGGGAACTGTAGTTTATTGTGGCACCAGAGCTCTCTGACAGAGAAGGCTCAATGTCTCAGAAAAAAATACAATTCCCATGATTTCCTAGCACTGAACCAAGACAGTTAAGGTGTACTCAATTTGCACTATTTCTAGCAGTCTGCAAAAGCCCAAAAGAGCCAGACCTACTGATCTTGTGGTGTGTTGTAGGGTAGCATCAAACTCCCTGTCCAGCATAATGGGAAATGTTTGCATCTTTCCTGCAAAGCCTTGCCATATTGTGATGGCAACAACCATCTTTGTTCTTGTTAACTGCCTTCGTGTTGGTCTCGACCCATGGCGACCCTATGGATGAGACATCTCCAAGCCCCCCTGTCCTCTACTGCTCTGCCCAGCTGCTGCAAACTCATAGTCATGGTCTCTTTAATAAAGTCAATCCATCTAGCATGTGGCCTTCCTCTCTTTTTCCCTCCACTTTTCCTAACATGAATGTCTTTTCCAACAATGCATACCTTCTCATGATGTCTCCAAAGTACAACAGTCTAAGGGGCATTGCAGAGTGGCCTAAAGGGCCAGCCTGGGCCTGGAGTTGGGGCAGGGCAGCCACACGCCAGCTGCCCCAACCCCACCCTGACACCGTCCTGATGCCGCGTGGCTGTTTGCATGGTACGCGGCATTAGGATGCCCTCCCGGCACAGCGTGCAGACACGCTGTACTGAAAGGGCATGGAAGAGCTGTGGCGCCAGCTCTTAGGGCAGCATTTTGCTACTCTTTTAGGGGCAGAAAAAGGAAGGATTGGAGCTGTGGCGTGGGGTTGCTGTGGCCCCGATCCACCACTAGCAACAGCGGCCCAGAGCCGCCTGTCTGCATAGTGACCCACGGGTAGGCAAACTGTCCCCTTTAAGGGCCAAGGGACTTCAGCTCACAGAATCCCAAACTATTGGCCAACATGGCTGAGTCTTCTGGGAGCTGAAGTCCCTCGGCCCTTAAAGGGGACAGTTTGCCTACCCCTGGGTCCCTAAGTCTAATCATCTTGGCTTCTAGGGATATCTCTGGCTTGATCTGTTCTAGGACC